TACAGGTGAATTACCTTTTTAAATGTTGTAACTTTTAAAAACTTCCTGGTTCATGAATTTGAAGTGCCCAACAGTCTGGTTGGCCAGTGTGGAAATGATTTTTTTCACGCGCAGAGAGAGCTTGGCCGCCAGCAGATAAAATCGCATCGCGCACTGCTGTCCGATGTAAAGTTATTAATTTTCAATGCATTCATAATAAGAGAGGAAGTCTATTTTGACCGCTCCTTTAATGAGTGACTAAATAAGTAACAAAGGCCGTTTAACAATGGCCGTCACAACACAAAGCCCATCACCATCATCACCGCCGCCGTCTCTCTCGCTGGCAGAGCAGCCTTTGCTTACATATATTCAACCCGGCAGATTGATTGATCTGTTTCATTGCTTCATAAAGAGAAAGCAAATTTCGCGCTGCCTTTGTGTTCTCATTATGATTCCATTCTTGCTGCTTTTGTCTTCTGGCCCGAATCTGTGCTCTTTTTTGCTCAGTGTACGTCGTCCTCATTGGCTTGCGATTTGATACGCCAAAGTCGAGCACATCAATTCTTGGCTCGAAAAGCAGGGTTCAATTTCAAATTCGAACAAAAGCCCTTATGGACGAAAGTCTTGTTTTTTTTAACATCTTTGTTGAAAAATAATATTCTAAATCTTGAGTCGGAAAGACTTCATTTTTTAAACGCGTTAAACTGCAAAACGTTGATCAAAATAAACTTTCTAAAGTTAATAAATTCACAAATTGATTAAAAAACCCAAATACTTGAAATGAAAACAAACTGTACCGAATCCTATTTTCTTTAAAATGAATGCAAATTTCTAATAAGTAATGATTAATGCTCCATCCAACAAAAAAAGAGGACTATAATCAAAATTTTGACAAAAACTTGGACTAGTCATTTTTTCTAAACCGGCTATTTTTCCATCCGCACTAATTTATTTTAATGTAATCTGAAATGTTGCAAATTGTAAATTTTTCACAATTTAGAGGGTAAAAACATTTTCATTTTATACTGAAACAAAATTTTCGTCTCTTTTGTTCCCGAGCTGGATAATTATAAGAGAAACTCATTATTTCTCACAACAAAAGTACTTGAAGTGGTGCTTTCTTTGCTTACAATATTGATTAGAGGTGGATGAATTTATTTTTCGAAAGTATAACACGGAGGGCTTGTTTTGGTCTGCTGCCGCCGGTGGTGGTGCAGCAGAGAGTGTCAGTGTTGGAGAGCTTTGTAAACTGCTTGAGCTCACCTCCGACGATGTTGCAGACGTGAAAGGGGTGTGGTTGATTTAATAATGGAAGATAGTGGTGTGTGCCTGCTTGCCGGTCGGCAGCGTTGGTGTTGGAGAGAATAAGGGCGGTTGTGCTTGCCTACAAGTGGTCTTTCAGGAAGACGTGCGCGCCTCTCGCGCGTTATTTTCTTCTTTTTTCACTCTCAACCTCGCCAAAGCACGTCTCGGACCGACCACAATACACATTACACATATATGTATTAACAAATTATTTTGAAAATGGAAAAAAACTTTCGTTATAAATACAAGAAATTAAGCAACTCTTGCTGAATACATATTTAAATATTCAAAATGAACTATTTCAATTAATCTGAATTTTAAAGAAATATTTTTTTTAGCTTAAAGTGGGTTGTATTGTTCTGAAAAGCAATTCAAAACTGTGTCTTTTAATTATAAATTTCAATTCTTTCCAAAGATAATTTATTGTGTTTCTATTTTCGGGAAATTAAAAATTTAAAATGTTCAATAAAAGGTCAAGGACAACGGCTTGATTTTGAGTAGTATTTTACTTTGTAGAAGCTCGTCAACAGTCACACTAATTATTAAAAACTTAAAACGAAGAAAAGTTTTATTTACAATTCTAAATATTAGTAAAATCAGCGTTACATTTTAAGGAATACCCAGTACTTCAAAATTCTAAGAAATTAAAGAACAGAACCGATGAATTCAATGGACTTTTTATCATCCTGTAGAGATTTCAAATTTTGCAGTTTTATTTTAAATAAAGAGAAAGCTTTAATAAAAACGCTAATGGATTAAGAAATGTCAATGCAACTAACTAATTGGAAACAAATTGAACTCCCTCGGACCCCTTTGTTCTTGCGAGTATGCAACCCGCTCGTCCCAAAGGCCATGCGGTGCAACATCTTTTCCTAAAATCTAGAGTTTCAGTGACCTCTCTAATTCTAAAATTGGAAAAGTTTCAAAATCGAGTATTCGTTCAGACCCTTCACAGGAGGGTTCTAGGGCGGGTGTGAATCGATTGAAAACTCGAATAATATCGGCGGCGAGATAGCGCAGAATGTACATTATGCAGAGCGATCGTGTGCCTTCGGAGGCGAAAATGAGAATGAAAAAAGGCGTCACGGCTGGGTGCAGTCATCACTAGGTGGGTACATACATAGTGCAGAGTGAAAGATCTTTTGTTAGGTGAATATAAAGGCCGCGGCGGCGGCGGCAGCAGCAGCAGTGTAGTGTGTTGTAGGGAGAAAGAGAGAGAGGTGATACAAATCTGTAGCTGCAAAGAATAAAGTATTGTCATATAGAAAGAGATAAAACACAATTGTTCACGGGCCCCCATGCACCCCCGCAGCCACCCTCTTTCTCTCCTCGCTACCTCTTTTCTCTCGCTCTCTTTTTACCGACCGCACAGAAAAAGCGAGAAGAATGCACGGGGCGAGCGAAGAAGAAGAAGAAGAAACATCGTCATACGTATTGAATAGGTCACAATACAAAAGAGATGACGAAAACTTTTTATATCAAAATGCTGGCGAACGAGAGGGGGCGACTCGGCAGACGCGCAAGAAAAATATACACGCGCGCCGAATTACATAAAAAGGAGCGCCCAGACTTTGATGTCCGAACGACCGCTCCGGTTTCTTTCTTTATTTCCAACGTTTAATTCGAGATGGAACAACTCCAAAGCTGCCCTGCTCCGATTGAATGCGTCCGCTGTTTATTCAAAGTGTGTGCACGTGCCCATTCAACTTGCTGCGAACTTGGTAATCAGCTTAAATTCAGAATCAATTCAGTTCAGGTGGAAGTTCAAAGTAAACTGTTGATTTCACTTTTCTGCTGAACCTACAGCTTTTGAGCTAAATATAATTTCTTCAAATGGAAAACCGCTGGACTGAGGAATCTTGTTTAAGAAATGAAAATATATTAAAATTGAAAATCTTAATCATTTAAATTGTGTTAATGCACAATGAAAAAAACAATGAAAAGATTAGCAAATTATTTAAAAAAGTATAAACCAAAAATTAAAGATAATCTTTGAAACATATCTACGAATAAAACTACATGATTTTTAGCCAGGGTTGATAATTAATTTTGACATAATTTTATTTCACCTTATTGAAAGGAACATTTCTCTGAATTGCTGGATAATTTCAAAATAATAATGCACAATTAAAATTTAAAGCAAAAAGCAAAAAAATGCAATTTTTAAAATTGAATTAAAAATTCAAAACAGATGAAATTGACTATGGTTGAATATTTATTTGCAAAAAACCATCTAATTTACTTGGTAGCTCCTTAATTAATAATCTATTTTGGAAACATAAAATTTTTCCCTCTAAATTTTAAAGTGGTTTTTTTTACAAAATTTGGTTAATTAATCTGGAAAAATTCTTAAATAAGGTCAAATACTTTGATTTTCAAATTTAAAGTAATATAAATTTAGATTTCATTTCATCTTTGATTTCTCGAAAAATGTCACGCTTAACAAGTCTATTTATTTTACGTTTTCTCGTCTCATAAGGAAGTGAAATTCAATTTTTTTTAAAACGGAGAGACTCAAAAGAAGTCTGTGATATTTTGTAGCATTTTTATCCCTTATTTTCAAAGGGCTCTCTGTTATGTCCATTTTTCATCTCTGACGGAAAACAACAGAGAACGGGCAGTGAATGGCTTTGGCGAGAGTGCCGCGCGTATGTGTGTTTGTATAGTACGGCGTGCATGTGTATTCAAAAGATATAGGCGAGATGATGGAGTGCTGCTGGAGCCGAGCACGAAAAGAGCCAGCCAGATATGCTCCCGTATACGGCGCGCATGGTGTATTATGGTGTGTGTTCGTGGAACGGCAGCACAAGAGAAAGATGTATTCTCATTTGATTAAGAACAATACTGGCACGAACAATGCTTTTGTCGAGCTGCAGCAGCGCCGGCAACAATGAAAAGAGAGAGAGAGAGACTAGTGCTGCTGCTGCCCCTGCCCGTTATGCCACCCCATCGCACACTCGCGCATAGTAGTAGTAATAATAATAATAAATATATGTGTTTTGGTACATGCACTTTCACACACAATACACCAACAGCCGCCCGACAATAGGCCTCTCTGCCTGGTTTGATGCGCATTGGCCAAACTCTGACAACGAAAAAGAATATATCAAATCATTTTTGAAGCAAATTTCTTGCGAGTATAATAATTAAGTAACCTATTGAAAACCGGTTGAAAATATATTTTGAAAGAAAACATTAAATATTTTTGAAATAAACAGAAAATATTAGGATTAATTGTTTAATATCCTGCTCTACATGTTTTGGCTGCGGCCATAATTCTTGAGCTGTGAAATCATTTTGACAAGAATGAGAACAAAAAAATTTTTATTTTAAATTAACAATATTTTGTTATAAATTATTTAGAGTTATACATTTTTTAAATTTTTCGAAAAATTGTTTATTTGATCAAAAATAATTTTAAAACATTGATTTTTGTACATATTCTTGTCAAAATGATTTCTCAGCTCATGAATTATGGCTGCAGCCCGCAGCCGAAACATGCAGAGTAAGATATCATACAAAAAAAAAATCAATATACAACTCATAAAACACATCGTGGATATTTTTAAATTTAAATCACCCTCGATTATAAAATAAAAATAGTTTAATAAACATTCTAGAAAAATGCACCCTTATCTCCATTTATATTCCTAATGTGATTAAGAAATCTGGTGGATTTAATTATTAAATGGAAATTCTTAAGAAATATATAAAAATATATTTATTATTTTCATAAATTATGCAACAATAAAACAACACATTTTAAAATCGGAATTTAAAACTAATTATTGGTGTCAGTGTCCATAATTCGGCGATAGTAGCTCATCAGTATCAAAGACAACAGCTGGAAATTATACCACAAAATTAAATTTAGTAAACTGCAGAAAACTGAAAATCAACCTGAATCAGAGCACTGCCAATTGCAGTTCCACTGATGGCATAAGCAAAATTATTGCACGAAGCCTCCAATTTCGTGAAGCATCCTTCCCTAAAAACTCGCAACACGTAATTGCAATAATCTTGGTAACTATTGCAAATGCACGAGTCGGGAACTCCACGCAGTGTTGGTCTGTAAGTCTTCCAATCCAAGAAACCGTCCACTCCGCAGCATTGGTAGGTTAGCTGAACTTTGTCCCAAGCAATTTTGGACGCTTCGTTGTTGTTCGGGGAACTTTCGGCGGAATAGGTTTTGGCTGCGTCGATCATGCTACCCCGCATTTTGGACATGACCCCATCCTCATACGTCAGGGTCAAAATGCCAGTCGTCAGTTGGGCCGTGAAGATCACAAACAGCAAAACAGAATACTGACGATGAGATCAGAAAAATGGATTATTTTTCAGTTAGCAAAAATCAGTTACCAAAGTCAAGATGTTCTGTTTGTGTTTGAGTACTCCGTATACACCCAGAGGAGCAACCAGAAGTAGAATTGCACCAATGCATATCAGAGCGATAATCGGAAATCGGATCTGAAATTATTAATTGTTTTAAATTAACAGTTGAAATAAATCTCTATTTTTTTAAACATGAAATAAAACTAATTTCTCACCTCGTCAGATAAAAAGTCATCAAAGTTTTTGAAACTGTCCAAGAAAATTGAGCAAACAACAACTAAAGCAACTCCATCGACCTGAAAATTAAAAAAACAAAGTTAACAAATTCCTTCCAGATGTTGTTAAGTACCAAGAAACTGGCATTAGCCACTATTAGTTCCCACTTGAAAAATTTCAAAACACGGTAGCCGACCGTCATCTTTGTGTTGGTAATTTTGAATGGCGAGTGGAGGAGAACAATTTAGATTATAATCCCAGTGCAGAAATCAGAAATGTTATCATGAACACGGACCATGCCTTTTCCAAAAGGCCCTTATCATTTTACTAAAGAAATATTTCGATTATGGAACTCAATCAAATTAAAAAGAACCCCGGCAGTCCGCCTGAGGCATAAGTGGCACTTGAACGGCACCTCCCTATGATAAGCTGAAAACTCTATTATGCTTATCTAATATATTCGATTTGTAGAATGACTCTATGGTTTGAACAATCGTGTCAGCTTTGGTCGCTGGTTCAGATAACATGATTTTTGTATTTTTGAACACTTTTTGTGCTATTTTATTCCTGCGTGGTATTGGCAACCAATATATAGCAGCTGAAATACTGAAACCTGGGTCAAAATAAATCATTTTGAAAATAAAAATTATTCCAGAACATTCGGTTTTTGAGAAAAAAAACAGGTTTTATTATTTTTTGTATCAATAATTTAAAACGCAAGTAATAAAGATCACACTTTACACATTTATATATGTCAAAAGTTGCAACAATTTAAATGCTTCTCTTTTTTCAAATTTTTCAAAATAGTTGTACCGTTTTACAATAATTTACGACGAGTCTTTCCTTTTCTTGTCTCCAAATCTGCAGGCCAGCAAAAAGGCAATAATTCCACCAGCCAGCTGAAATATTTTGCATGAATAAAAAATTCAACATTAAGTAGAATGAACATACCTCAAATATAGCAACTCCAACTCCTAGTGCTGCAACAACATCTGCCAATTGACCCAACGAAGGTTGAAGTTTGGGGTAGCATCCAATATTGAAGATTAGCGCTGTGGGGTTGCAATCTTCCTGATCGGCAGTGCATTTGCACGAGTCAGGATATTCTGCAGGCAGTTCGGGCCTATAAGTTCGCCAATCACTGAAGGTGTCGACACCGCAGCAGAACTTTTCGCTCTGCAACTTGTCCCAAGACAGTTTGTGATCCGGATCTCCACCGACCCCCTCAATGTAATAATCTCGGGCAAAAGATATCAGGGTTTCCCTGAAAGTAGCGCTAAGTTCGTCCTGGCTTTGGAATTGCAAGATGCCACCCGTCATCTGGGCGACGAATAGACCGATCAGAATGGCGCTGTACTGAAAAAGAATAAATTTTGTTGTCAATTATCATTTAATTACCTGTGAAAAGTTAAAATTTAAAATTTGTACATTTAAAAGTTTCTTTGTTCGCAGTAAAATTCAATATTAAAATAAGTGTGCATTAAAATAATTGGCCCGTTCTAGAACGAATTGAAGATTACCAGAAGTGACAATAAAAATTTATAGACAGATTGCGCACTAATCAATGCGAATTTGATATGCTTATTATCATTTGATGAATTTCTAATGCACATTATTTATAGTTAATATTTACCAAGTATAATGTTTAATGTTGTCACTATTTTGATCTCAAATTATAATATTATTTCATGTTCAATCTCAAAATATTGTTATCAAATAATAAAAATATATAATAAATACGTCAATTAACTACAGCACGATTTTAATAAAGTGAACTTCTTGAGATTTAAATATTGTTTTATCTGGAGCATAGTAATAGTTGCGGCAAATTGTGTCCTCTTGTTGGAAAAAATGATAATATTTAAATAAAAAATACACTCTTATTTGGAATTTGGAAACAACTTACAATATACATCATCCAAGCAGACTTCTTTCTTGATCCGCAGCATCCCAGCAAGGATACCAAAAACGTGACGCCACCAGTTGCAATCAATATAATAGCTCCCGTTTTTGCCTAAATTTAATTAAACACGTCACACTTTTGGTTTCGTAGAAATTCAAAATTTTATACCTGGTCTTCAATGAAGGCGTCATAAGACTGGATGTTAACCAAAACGATGGAGCCTATCGCAATCATGGCGATTCCACCAATCTGCCAGAAATTTCGATCAATAAAATGTTAAAATTTTCGCAAATCCACGAGAAAAATGATTTTTTTTTTAACTTACCACGAAGAGGACATTCAGAACGTAGAGTGCCCATTTGAAAATCGTGAGGATTATTCCTCCAACACAGTCTAGCAAGCAGCAGCCCATTTTTTCAAACTTCCACGCTCTTTGGCAGAAGGCTTTGGATCAGATTGTGCGGCCACAAAATTTGCTTTCGCTTATTTATGCCGCTATCAAAAATCCAATATTGCTTATCTGGAGGCTCAACGCCCAGTGCCTGCCAAAGGCTGGACAGTGCGCGGTGAATCAGAGTCTTCCTAAGATAAAACAACTTGCAGTCACTTATCTATTTTACCCAAATAAAAACCAGCTAATGAGAAACGAATGCTGATTTTCTTGCTTGAAGAGCTCGAAGCCCAACCTCGTTATCAAGAAAAATGTACCCACCACGAGATTGAAAATTGTTTCTAGATGATCACGCGATATCTCACATTTTTTGCAGGTGGCAAGCAAAGTATCAAAATCAGACAAAAGGAATTATTTAATATATGAACATCCACATTGAGGAGAAAGTGAATAAAATTTGAAACAAAAATGACGTTAAAAAATTGAAACTTTAGGTCATTTTAATGATTTAGGCTGATAAACACAATAAACTGTCTGAAAATTCAATATAACTTGAATAAATGAAAAAAAATTGATTTGTGATGGACTATTAATAAAATCACGAAGTAAAAATTCGAGAAATGGTCATTAAAAATCTTAGAAACTTGTTGTTTTCAGTATTATTATTTAAGATTTTTATCAAAATTTCTTTGTACTTCAGCAACAGAAAAAATAACGAAGATTTTTAATTTTACTACTATATATAATATTTCACGTAAATTACCGAGTGTAAAATTTTGTGCCTCCATATCTCCGCCCGATCTCCGCCAATGATAAAATTTAGCGTATTGCTTATCTAATTGCTCTCAATAGTCTCAATCACTCAATGTCAGCGTCACCAATTCTTTATTTATGATAGTCGGCAATGTGCATGTTAAGTCTTTGTCCCCAAAGTGAAATCAAGGTCTCAAGTATAAAAAAATCAATGACGTGATAGTGTTTAATGGATAACATATGACGCTCTAACAGCGCCGCAGTTTGATAAAAAAAAAATTCATCATCACGCTCAAAGAATTTTTCAAAAACTCATACTTACTTAGTTAAACTAAAAGTATGAAGCTTCAATATTGAATAATTATGAGAAAATATAACAAAATTTAGATAATACATGTGGATTACAATACGGACCCTTTTGTCTAATTTATCAATAGATTTTTGTTAATTTTTTTACCAGATTTTTATATATTGTCCAATGTTTGCGCGTCCCTTCCCGCCACTTCGAAAGGCTGCCGCTAGTTCCATTCAAGCAAATGTATAAGCGCTCGCCTCTGATTGGGTGCTATTTCCCCCTCCACCGATTCAAACGTGGGTTGCGCGAAGCTTGATATTGTCTAATCGTTTTTTTTTTAAATTAGGTGAATCTTTTTATTAATATGTTATACAATATAAATTTGAGAGAATTACAGGAGAATTTAGGCAATTTTGATGCTTAATAGTTCAAACAGGGTCTGAACTGTCTGAAGAACAATATATACAGGTTGGCCCATAAGTAGTCCGTGATCTTTGACAGCTCGCCACGGGCGAACCGTTGGTCGAATTTGAAAAATCTGCACAGATTCTGAAAGCTTAACTTTCTACAAATTTGCCTGGCACAGTAAGAATTTTGCCAGAGTTGAAATTGTAATTGTTTTAAAAGGAAAACTAAAAAATGAGAAAGTGCCTTATGGGACTTCCCATATAGCAGCATTATGAGTGTCGGAAGTTCAAAGTGAAAATCATGTTTTTTAGGTAAATCGACCCTCCTGAACACGAATCCGTGGTCGGTTTTTTGAAATTCTCGTTATTTCTAATTTTTTCCCTCAATTTGCAAATATTTGCAAAATGTGCCAAAAAAACTAACACGTGGAGATAAAAATCTGAAAATTGCTGGAGGGGTGGATCTTGAACATAACAACAACGTAATTTTTCCATACTTGCTATTTTCCGGAAAATTGACCATTTTCACAAGGGGTCCACGTTTTGGTCGATTTCTCGATTTCTATGGGAGTTAAAAACAAAACTTAAAGTGATTCTGAAAGCTGATTAAATTTCCTATCTTTCCTCTGTGAACATTAACTTTCCAACACTGGCTGCTTTTCCGGAAAATTGAAGAAAAAAATTAACTTATTTTTCCCAGAGAGTATGCAACCCGCAACAGAAAGTCGAAATAGCCAAAATGTAGCTTGGTTCTTTGGCAAGACACCCCTAAAATTTCAAAACTTTTCCTCCAGCCGTTTTTCCGCAATCGCCGATTTTCCCGACCCCTTTTGGGAAAAATAAAACTTTTCCGGAAAGGCATGTGTGATGCATCATTCGATTAGGCACGTCAAGGAGATGCTAGAAATGAATTTTTATCAAAATCGGATCATTTTTCAAATTTTCAGAGCAGTTTGAAAAATGAACTTTTTTTAATTTACAAACACTGCTCTGAAAATTTGAAAAATGATCCGATTTTGATATAAATTCATTTCTAGCATCTCCTTGACGTGCCTAATCGAATGATGCATCACACATGCCTTTCCGGAAAAGTTTTATTTTTCCCAAAAGGGGTCGGGAAAATCGGCGATTGCGGAAAAACGGCTGGAGGAAAAGTTTTGAAATTTTAGGGGTGTCTTGCCAAAGAACCAAGCTACATTTTGGCTATTTCGACTTTCTGTTGCGGGTTGCATACTCTCTGGGAAAAATAAGTTAATTTTTTTCTTCAATTTTCCGGAAAAGCAGCCAGTGTTGGAAAGTTAATGTTCACAAAGGAAAGATAGGAAATTTAATCAGCTTTCAGAATCACTTTAAGTTTTGTTTTTAACTCCCATAGAAATCGAGAAATCGACCAAAACGTGGACCCCTTGTGAAAATGGTCAATTTTCCGGAAAATAGCAAGTATGGAAAAATTACGTTGTTGTTATGTTCAAGATCCACCCCTCCAGCAATTTTCAGATTTTTATCTCCACGTGTTAGTTTTTTTGGCACATTTTGCAAATATTTGCAAATTGAGGGAAAAAATTAGAAATAACGAGAATTTCAAAAAACCGACCACGGATTCGTGTTCAGGAGGGTCGATTTACCTAAAAAAACATGATTTTCACTTTGAACTTCCGACACTCATAATGCTGCTATATGGGAAGTCCCATAAGGCACTTTCTCATTTTTTAGTTTTCCTTTTAAAACAATTACAAATTCAACTCTGGCAAAATTCTTATTATGCCAGGCAAATTTGTAGAAAGTTGGGCTTTCAGAATCTGTGCAGATTTTTCAAATTCGACCAACGGTTCGCCCGTGGCGAGCTGTCAAAGATCACGGACTACTTATGGGCCAACCTGTATATAGTATCACTGAATCATAGATTTACTAATTTTTGTCTTGAATCTTAATTATTAATGTGTTTGCACTATTTTAACTTTACAAAATAATATCTGGTCAACTCTTTCAGGCGAGGTTCCCTTCTCATTTCAGGCAGCACACAGTATATTTATACTTCGATACTCTCCTTTGTAGAGTCGATGTTGATAAAACTGTAGATTTCTTAAAATTTCCTTATCATTTTAAAATGTTTGCCTTGGAATTCAGCTTCTAATCAGTGTTCCAAATGATACGAATAATGTGAAATTTTAAAATGTTTTATGGACTGAAAAAAGCCTTCGAATTGTGAAGTTGCATACGTTTGTGGAATCTGTTGCCACTAGAGTTAAAAAACTTGCAGAACAAAAATGATGTGAAATACAAATTAAAAAAATGGATGTTAAAACAAAATTGAACAAATAAATTGAATGAACAAATTGAAAATAATAACTGTTATATTATGTCCGTGTAAGCACTAAAAGCTTCAAATTTGAAGCAATTAGTCTGATAAGCACCAGCCGATAATTTCTTCGGAAATTGGCTGGACTTGTAATGAAATAATAAATAAATATCTTTCAATAAAAAAATATATATATATATATATATATATATACTGAAGAAGCGAAAGGATTGCGGTGGAGACAGATTCACACACGCGGAGGAGCGCAGCAAGTGCAGTGCACCACCGCTATTCAAATCAGCATGTAAAGAAAGCCCTGGAGGGGGCGCCGGCAGCGGGATGAAAGCAGGAGGGAGGGAGGGAGGGAGGGAAAACAGCGTGCATTGTGCAGTTTCTATTGTGGAGGCATCTCTGACAAGTAGTCTCGTTGTGTCTTTAGAGAGGAAAAAATAGATGACGTCATAAAAAAGCATGAAAAGCAGGGGAGAAGATGGGAATCAAAGCTATTGTTAAAAGTTCTCTCTTCTTCATCGTCTTCTTATTCTTCTTCTGCGCCTCCTTTCAATAGCGAGAGAGCGAAAGAGCGAGAGCACATGCACGCTGCTTTTGCTCCGGGCCGCGCCGCCGACACACACACACACACAGTGCCTTTCAGCGCCGCTCCATACATCACTTTTGTCGCAGATGCATTCATTGCCTGCTGATGGAATTACGCCTTTTCATTCCCGATCATATCGAATTCGCGACGCCGCGCGCCTGCTGCTCCTTTGCGACGCGGGACTCTGGCTTGGCCTCAATATCTCTGCTCTACACGTCCTTCACATCAAATTGCTAAACTTGCAGAATTTTTGCAATTTTAAAAGCAACGAAAATGGGAAAAATTAAAATAAGAGAAATGGTAAACTTAGAAAAAATTGATTTTTTAACTCTTTTTTAACAAAGACTGAAATTTTTTTCAAAAATCAATAATAATTATTTCATTCAATTAAAATGAACTATTTGGCACTTTCAGGAGTTGAATTTCAAAACAGCATGTCAGACCACAACAGTGTGTCTCGGGTTCATTGCCCAGATACTTTTTATTTGATGAAATTTGGTGGTCTAACGTGCTGTTCTGCAATTCAACCACTGAAAGTGTGAAGAAAGTCTTTTTTAATTCTTTTCTTTTTGAATTAAGAATGTCAGGGGAGTGTTCCTTTCTGAGATTCAAATTATTATTTCAATTTGGCAATTTCATCCGTTTCTGTCCCATTTTTTAAAATTGTGTCTATACGAAAACAAAAGTAATTGAAATTTTTCCCTGCCAAATTTTAATTTTCCACTTCTTGATCAATTTTGTTCAGAACTGTAGAATGAGAATGAAACAAATGTTAAGTAAATGGGAAAATTTTAATGACCGTGTTG